GCACTGCCCCTTCCCAACAGGAGAGGGGATGGAAAGGCTCAGGGAACGGGAAGAGATGTGACACAACCCCCAAAATATGAGCTGGGAAGGGAAAAGATCTGCCAGAGCACAAACATCCATGAGCCAAGTGATTTATGGGGGTGGAAAATCTCAGCCTCTACCACTTATCCGCAGCTTTTTCTGGGAAGGGGAGGCATGGAGGGTGTCCAAGGAAAATAAACTCTGCCTGAGGGCTCTCAAGTTGCTTTTGAAAGAGTGTGAACTCCCTGCCTGGCAGGTTTGGGGAAGCAAAATGTCAATTTTGCAGAGCCCCCCCCTGAGCTGGAGCCCCCTCAAAATGAAGTCCAGTGTTGTCTTAAAGGTGCTGGTTTTCCAGGTTAAATCCCTGGGAGCCTCCAGGGAATTCGAACTGAAAGGCTGAGGGAATTGGGATTGCTCAGCCTGGAGAAGAGAAGCTTCAGAGGGACCAAATTGGGGCCCTCCAGGAGCTAAAAGAAGGATGGGAGAGACTATTTCCAAGGGTCTGGAGGGACAGGACGAGGGGGAATGGCTTCAGGTGGACAGAGAGTAGGTTTAGATGGGATATTGGGAAGAAATTCCTCCCTGGGAGGTTGGGGTGGCCCTGGCACAGGTTCCCCCATCCCTGGGAGCGTCCAAGGCCACCCTCAAGGTGGAAAACCTTTTCCCAACATCCCTCTTCCTGCCCAGCTCCAGCTGTTCCCTCGGGTAACAGGATCCCCAAGGTCAGACCTTGCTCCTGTTCATGCACTGCCTGGATCCCACCAGTCTGCAAACAGCCAGATCCATTTGGGAATCACGGGGTGGAATTCAACCCATGAACTCTGTGCAGCACCTCCAACCAGGCATAGTTTGAGCAGAGCCTGGTTTTAATTGCTACTGGAGCACCAACTGGAATATATTCCATTGGGTTGAGCTCTGTCAGTGCAATAACTGAGCTGGTGGAGAGCCCTGACCACGGAATTGCTGCTCAGAGAAGATTCCAGGCCCCTCATCACCCCCCTGAGCTCATTCCAGACAGCAAACATCACTGCACGGGCTGTGGGCTGAGGAACCAGCAGCTCCCAGGGGGATGATGTTTGCCCTGATGAATGTGAGGTATGACAGGGCAGCACTCCCAGGCACGTTGGGAAGGGCAAAGACTTTCAACTTGACTTCACAGGAGGCTTTTGACCCGCCTGGTTTGGGGTTTGTGACCCCCTGAGTCACCCTGGACTCATCCTCCAACTATGTCACAGCAGAGATAAAGCCCAGATGAAGAGGAGGAAAGCTCAGAGAGGGGGAAGAGAGCTGAAATATTTGACAGCCAGCTGTGAGTGAGAAGAGCTTCCCCAGTGGCATCCTAAAAATTCGAGCACGTCACCTTTAGCCTTAATCCTGCTGCAAGGGAAGCAGCAGAGGAAGAGCCCTTGAGCTGCCACTGATCTCACAGGGAGAGAGAGAAAAACCAGCTTGGTTGTGCAGAGTGGGAGCAGCAGCGTGGTGGGAATTTGTTCCTAAAGTTCAGGCAGAGAGAGAGAGAATTCTGGAATGGTTTGGGACGGAAGGGACCTTAAAGATCATCTCGTTCCACCCCTGCCATGGGCAGGGACACCTTCCACTAGCCCAGGTTGCTCCAACCTGGCCCTGGACACTTCCATCCCAGCCCCTCCTCACCCTCCCAGGGAACAATTTCTTCCAAATATCCCACCTAAAGCTGCCCTCTGGGAGTTGGAAGCAGGCAGGGGAGAAGCTGGGGGTGACAGCAGCCACTGGCCAGAGAACACACCACTTTTACCCCCTGCTTAGTGCAGGCACTGAAAAATGCAGTTATTCCTCTATTTTACACCCCTTTCCCCTGCCCAGTTATTTCTCTATTTTACACCCCTTTCCCCTGCTGATGAATCAAAGCTTCTGCTCCACAAGCTGCTGCAATGCCATGATTCATTTTCCTTCTCATCCTGGAGGTTGGAGCACCCACCCAGCAGCCAAACCAACCCCCAGTCACCCTGTGCTGTGCTCTGCTCCTCATCCCAGCTCCAGTCTGAGCTCATGGAAAGGCAGAGCCCTCCAAAGCTCCTGGGATTAACATCTGAAGCAGCTCAGGGTGAAGTGACCTCCAGCCTAGGCTGAAGCAGCTTTTCCTCCAGGCTTTTTGGAGGATTCACTGTGGCTTTGGGGAAAGGACACGTGTGCCAAAGCCATGGCTGGTGTTCTGTGATCCCACCTCATTCCCTGGGAAACAACAGTGCCATTGATGGAGGCAGCCTGGGATCCCTCCCCGGCCAAGGTGGAGGCAAGGAAGAGAATTTAATCTCTCCTATCCTGTGCCTGTACCTCTGCCTTCCATGGAATGCTGATCCAGACAGGCTGGACCCCTCCCTGCAGATCACAACAAACCCAGGATCCACCCATGGGAACCACACATCCTGGATTCCCTGTCTCTGCCCGAGGTTCTTGGATGAATTTTGGCCAAGGGCAGTTCACACAGTGAGGCACCAGAGCCCCCCACACAAGGGGGGGTGTTTGTGGGGTCACCACCAGCCTGAAAAGCTGAAGGAATAAATACCACCTTATTTTAACTCACAGAGCTCAGCCCAGCATTCCCCCAACTCCTCATCCTGCAGGAATCACGTTGGGATTTGATTTGAGCCTTTGGGTTCTGTCATTTCCCCCCTCAGCCTCCCAGTCTGACCCAGAGACAGCCCAGAACCTTCCCCCAGTGACAGCCCAGAACCTTCCCCCAGTGACAGCCCAGAACCTTCCCCCAGTGACAGCCCAGAACCTTCCCCAGTGACAGCCCAGAACCTTCCCCAGTGACAGCCCAGAACCTCCCCCAGTGACCAGCCCACGCCTTCCTTCCGTGTCTCCCAGCACTAATCCCCCATTCCCACAAATATTTCCATACTGTTATCATGGTTGCTTCATCACTGCTGAGTCAAACTGGGAAAAAAACATCTATTTTTCCCTGCAAATCCACCCATTTCAAGCCATGGCTGTAAGTCCTGTTCACCTCCAAACCCAACCAGCGAGCTCCAAACTGGTCCCAGGACCAAGGGGAGGCACCAGGGGGAAAGAAAAGTCAGTATTAAATACTATAAACCTACAAAATCTGTGTGTACAGAACACACTTTGCCTCTCTAAATTAAGCCTTCTGAATACAACAACCCAGTTTTCAGTTTTGAAAAATCGATTGTGGAACCCGAGCGATTTA